GCTGCTGCTGCTGCTGCTGAGCCAGCTCTCACTGGCTGCTGCTGCTGAGCCAGCTCTCACTGGCTGCTGCTGCTGAGCCAGCCTACACTGGCTGCTGCTGCTGAACCAGCCTCCAGGGGCTGCTGCTGCTGCTCCTGCAGCTGCTGCAGCAGCAGCAGCTGCTGCTGCTGCTGCCAAATGTGCGGAAAGCCCATGCAGCAGCGCCGCAGGTGCAGCACAACTTCCTGCTGGGGCTGCTCGACGGGCAGCTGCTGCTGGCCGTCGACCAGCACGCAGCAGGCGAGCGGCTGCGGCTGGAGCAAATTGAAGACGCCTTTGCTGCGCTGCCCCACCCCTGCGTCCTCTCCGCCGCGCTGCAGCGGCCCCTGCTGCTCGAGGTGCTGCTGCTGCTGCTGCTGCTGCTGCTGTGGTGGTGGTGGTGGGGGGCCCTGCTGCTGCGACCAAACCCCCAAACTGCTGCTGCTGACTCTCTCCTTGCAGCTCGCGCTCCATGAGGCCTTGACGATCTCGGAAACGGCGAAGGAGGTGAGGCAGCACCTACAGCTGCTGCTGCTGCTGCTGCTGCTGCTGTGGCGGCTGCTGCTGCTGCTGCTCGTTCAGATGTGCGAAGCGAGTCAACGCGCTGCAGCAGATGCGCAAAGGCGCACTCTAGAAAGGGAATAAAATTGAACAATAGAATTAATTATAATTAATCAATCATTTGTTTCCTTTAGTTTCGCGAAAGTCTGCTGCTGCGCACAAGTCTGCTCATGTTCATGTTTGGCAGCTCTCCTTGCTGGGCTACAGGACGGAGCCTCCCCTGGCGCAGCTCGCCGGCCACCGCAGAGCAACTGGTAAACCCTAAACCCTAAACCCTAAACCCTAAGCCCTTCGTACTTGCGACGCCTGCTCTGCTGCAGTGGGCTGCGTGCCCTCGAATCTCTAAACCCTAAACCCTAAACCCTAACCCCTCGGCGGGTGCGCGCCTGCTGCGCTGCAGTGACGCACGGGCCGCGCATTCTGTGGAAGCGCTAAACCCTAAACCCTAAACCCTGCACCGGTGTTCTGCTGCAGTGACCCACGTGCCCTGCATGCTGGGGGAGCCCCTGGAGGCAGCAGCAATCCGAGAAGTGGCTTTGAGTTTATCGCAGCAGCAAATCTGCAGCAGCATAAAAGAGTTGATGAAAATGAAGGCCTGTCGTTTCGCGGTGAAGTTCGGGGGTAGGCCTTCCCCAAACCCCAAACCCTAAACCCTAAACCCTAAACCCTAAACCCTCCAGAGGCCCTCACCCCACAAGCTGCTGCACTCCTCCTCAGCAAACTCGCCCGCTGCAGAAAGCCATTTGCATGCGCCCACGGCCGCCCCACAGTCTACCCCCTCGCGCTTCTCCAAAACCCGCAAAAGGGGGCCCCCAGGGGGGCCCCCCAACGGGAACTTGGGGGCCCCCAGGCTACGCTTGGAGGCCCCTAAGCTGCCCTTGGGGGCCCCCAAGCTCTCTTTGGGGCCCCTAAGCTCTCTTTGGGTGACCTTCGGGGGAGCTTAGGGGCCCCCAAGTTCCCCTTGGGGGCCCCCAAGCTCCCCTTGGGGGCCCCCAAGCTCTCCTTGAGGGGCCCCAAGGGGAGCTTGGGGGGCCCCCAGCTCTCCTTGGGGCCCCTAAACTCTCCTTGGGGGCCCCCCAGCTCTCCTTGGGGGCCCCTAAAGGGCCCCGGCGAAGGGCCCCCTGGCCCAGCTCTGAGGCCTACTGAGGGCCCCACAGCTAGCTGCGCAGCTTTGAAACGTCAGAGGCGCTGAGACCCTAAAGGCTCACCAGCTAGCTAGCTAGCTAGCTAGCTAGCTAGC